TAGAGATTACTACACTAGTGTTGCCAAATCTCAAAATATAAATGGCAGCCCTCGTAATAACATTTGAAACCACCTACTGACTTTGCGGTTAACGCGGTTCGAGTCGCTGCTGTTAAAGAAGACCACTAGTCAGTGAGAGAGAATGCTTGTAGCATTGCTGAGTAGGTGTATGCGGTATATAAGGGAACCGGAATGTGTGACAGCTTCGAGAAATCGATAAATCAATCACGTTTTTTTCAGGTACCTGCCAAACCCCAAAAAGTAGACAAAAAAATTCGAAAAGCGCAACAGAAGGCCGCCAAATTGGATGATTCTAGCAGATCAGATGAGACACAGGAAAATCATCCGGCACCTCCTGACTCTGCCGCTTCTGACGAAAAGAGCGCTCCAGCAGACTTCAACATGGTCAAAATCACGGGAAATTGGCCCTCTGTGAAGACAAAGAAAAAGAAGAATGCAGTTAACGATGCGCCCCCGATGGAAAAACAGGATTCCAAGATGAACCAGTCCACTGAAGTGAAAAAAGAGTCGGCCACAGGGGCTAGTGTTGAGGACGAGCGTATAGTAGAAGTCGAGAAGTATGTAGAAGATTCAGTCAACAAACCTTCTCTTGATGAAACAACGTCCCAAACGTCTTCTATTTTGAATTGGGTCAGTGCCTTTGCAAGTTGAACCTTTTGTTCTTCGTGTATTGATTGAGTCAAATCGATTGATAGAATTCAATCGATTTGATTCCTGAAGGATTTTGAGTCAAAAGTAGTATTAGAATTATGGCGAAAGTTAAATGGTTATCCCATTCCATTCTACTCTTAGTAATGTTAAAAATTTATTTTTAGTTTACCTCCTCGTCATCATCGATATTTTCGAACCTTTCACTAGCGAATGTGATGGGCACGAAATCCGAAGAGAAATGTCGAGATTCCAATTCTCGTCCTGATTCTAGTTCGGGTACCACTCCACCGCCTCTTCAAACTCAACCTACCAAGGCTCATGAGAGAAGAGTTGTCCTTGTAAGTACTACAAATTTATTTTGCTTTGCGTAACTAGTCTATTAATGTTTTGACTTGATGTTTTGTTACCCCGTACTTGTCCTACACGGGCAGTGTGCAAGTGACAGAGCACGGTGCTCGGATAGTACAAGTGCGGGATTGAGTCCCGTTCCAGGCCGAGGTTTTGCTCACAACTCAGCAACCTTGCGTAGGTTTGGTTGTTAAGCTGTTATAGCTGAGCTGTTGTTTTACATCTTGTTTTTTCTCTTTTTGAAATCTGCAAAATTTTGATGACATATCTTCTCATTACTCTTACTTCCTTTTCAGGATGACGCCGCTCCTCCAGGCTTCAATATCGAGCCATCATTAGCTAACGACCTTCTGGCCGGCCCTCCGCCAGGCTTTGAAAACACTCATCTGGATGACGCACCCCCTCCTGGTCTATCACTGCCATCTACTTCGCAACCAGTATTTTCCATGGCACCTTTTATCTCTCAATCTGACATTGATAAGAACAGCAATATGTCAGCCGAGAAGCGGGTGGAAGAGAGCGGTTGGATGAAGGTTGGGGGTAAGTAGAAGTGGTTAGAGCAATTTATGCTGGGTATTAACTGGTACAGAATAAGTAATAGCACCTACGCAACTCTGGTTTGATGCTCGAAAAACTTGTGAGGTTTGTTAGGTGACGATATTTCAGCTTACCAACGGGGTTTACGGTATTATTTTTGGTTATTTCCGCATTTTACTGGTTTTCCTCTAACTACCGCTTGGATGTGTTATCCTAACGGATATAGCTCATGTGATATATTTCCTCTATCCTTTTTCCAAATGCCTTGTCTTTGTGCAACAGAATTTTGCGTTGTAACAATACTATTTCTGAGCTTCGTTTCCTTCGCCGAAGTTATTTCATGAGAAATCGATAGTTCCTTCAGAAGCCGTCCTACTTGACAATGTTGTCTTGGGTGGTTTGGTGGCGTATTAGTGCGGGGGTGTAGTTCTCATAGCTGATTGCGTTTAATACGTAGGCAAATCATTTTCTGAGAAAATTTTCCCAACGCATATTGACTACTTTCATCGAACTTTTACGTCCATGTCCTTTTACCCTACCTGCAATCGTACATGAAATATTGAATCAATATAGAAGAATTCTATTGCTTATTAAATTGCTTTATATTATGCGAGAATGATAAATCTTTATCGCTCATCTAAGGATCATCATATGAACTACTTCTCGGGAAAAAGAAATGGTGCGCTTTGGCCCACACCAATCATGTTTCAGAGCGTGTCGAACCATGGGGGTAAAGTAAGGTTTCTCCAGTTGAAAGCAGGATTATTCACATCTGAGCTGTCGAACTTTCAACAGTCACGCAGTGCTTGTGAGAAACTACTCAAATTAATTCTGCTGTTCAGTGGAAACTGGCTTTAATTAAATGGAATGGCTGTGTGGTAATTTGTGGGTTGTCATGTGCAGCAGTGTAGACAAAGTTCCCTCGACAACTTGATGTTACTGAAATAAAAGCTCCCTGCTGCGTGAAAATGGGATTAGTAATCATTCCTTTACAAAGGGATTCGTTTGATTGGCTGTTTTAAACAGCTCATTACTAGTTTCGCAAACTGTTTATGAGTGAAAGAGGCCAGTTACAGAGGATTAAAAGATTGCAGCAGGCATTTCTGTGTTCACAAAATGATTACATGGTTCCGTCATCATTTTCAGGCCTTTCAAAACTGCTTCTGGAAGTGACGCTTCATTTTTACATTTTCTTGGTGTTCAAAAGCATTCAAAGTGATTCAGATAATCCTCATGACATGAAGTCCGAGATATGCCATCCTGAATGGAACCAGATTTCCCGTGTCAGGACTTTTTTCGTGGAGAGTAGGTTCTCATATAAACTCGATATGGAGGTTTCTCAAGAGACGGACTAGCACACACATTTTCCTATTGGAATCCCCCTATGCAAACCAAGCCTGCCTTCACTTTTTGAAGACCAGATTCTTCTAGAAGCTAAAGGGCGCAGACCTGTCCATTGACTGGCGTATGTAGGTCACTGTGAAGGCCAAATATGCATTCTTACCTGACTAGGATTAGGTGTGAGCATTTTTCAATGACACTGATCAGAGGCAAACACTTGCGTTTAAGTTACGTTCAGAATTCGGCCATATAATATAAGCGGTCGTAGGATTGGCGTCAAATTCAGGCAGGGCTTCAGTTGTTTGTAGGCCTTTCAAATTGGCATTAATGTTTTAGGAACAATTTTTCGGTTGCTTTCGCGTGGGAGCGCTCATAAGGAAAAAAAATTGTTTCGTTAGTTCAGTTGCTACACCGTCTGTTTTGGCCTTAGTTGTGTAAGCGTTTTTTTGGAGGTTAGTGATGTTACTTTTCATAATTTTAAACATTTTCCGGATGAACTTATGGTGTATGAAGAGCGTCGAAGTTTTCAGCCTACCCGCAATTCGAGTCGACGGTGAAGAGCAGTGGTAAGTCGGTGCACATTTGTCCTAAGCTCGCTAAATGTTACGAAGAAGCAATAAAGGAAATCAGGAATAAGGACGGGAAGAGCAGCAGCACTAATTGGGGCGACAATCAGTACTACAGGTAGTCCATCTTGAGGAGCAAGGAGAAATATCGCTCAGCTTCCTTTCCACCATTCAAGACAGGGATGATTTGTGATCAGGGATGTCGGGTAGAGTCTTTTTTAGTTCAAATAAAACTTTTTTCTGAAGTCTTTATTCAACTGTCAATGCCAATATACATTGTTTCCACCAGTATTGTTATTGCTGATTGCCACCTCCAGGGCACACTTCAGGAAAGGATTAGAGAACTGTGGTGGTGCAGAAATAACTTTCTAATGCCGTTCTAATCATTATTACAGAGTTGTTAATCTGCCGTTTGAATGGTTCTGTAAAGTGCAGAATGGGTGGTTAGTGTTGGGATGAATTATGGTTCAAAGTTAAGGAACTTACCACGGAAGGATCCCAAGTCGAAGTGGCCATTTAAAATGAGACCTACACTGCT